ATATTTAAAAAAGGTTATTCATGAGTTGACAGTAATATATCCGAGTGCTGCCCAAAACGCAGAGGGAGGCAGAGAGAAAGACAAAGATATCACTCGAGAGAGAAAGAGGCAGCCCTGAGCGAGCGCGCCATTCTTGGTCTTATTTCACCCAATGTGCCAACTCCCCACATCCGCGTTCATTGTGACGGCTGTGCTGCGGACGAGTCGCTCTGGTTCGCCTGCGGTGACGAAACGGCAAGTGGACGGAAAACGACATTTTCCGCACCACACCGCACACCACTATACTATGTTGTTTTCTATCTACGCGTAAAACGAACTGACTGCCATTTGCTGCGTAGGCAACAAAAAGCAAACGATGACGCGGAATTTTCCTGTTTTCTGTGGCAGGAATGGCGGGCCTGGCGGGCCGGGTGGCTGGCTGAGACATGGCCGCGGGCTCGGGGGAGGCTGTGGGTTGGACCCCCAGCTGGTCGCCGGCCTACCCTGACGAGGACGTCACCACTACCCCCGGGGCCTGGCCCGCGGGGCCCGTCGCCTGGCACAATGGCACCGAGCTCCCAGAGGACCCGGTGCTCTACGCCATCCAGTTGTGGTTCACGCCCATGCTTGTCACGCTCGGCACGCTCGGCAACTGCCTCTGCGTCATCGTCTTCTTCGGCACCAAGCTCAACAAGCTATCCAGCAGGTAGACTGACAGTTTGGAACAGTTCCATTTCCACAATTTGCCCAAACAACATTTTTAAATGAATTGTTTACGAATATGTCTTTGTTGCAGCTACTACCTCTCCGGGCTGGCCATCAGCGACACCTGCTGTCTCGTGGCTGTCGCCGCCACCTGGCTCGAGTTCATCGACATACCCGTGTTCAACAAGAACGGCTCGTGCCAGCTCTTCGTGTACCTCAAGTCCGTGTGCAGCTTCCTCAGTGTCTGGTTCGTCGTGGCCTTCACGGTGGAGAGGTGAGCGACTACCGACGCACACGCATTATTTGTTTCTCACCAAAAAGGCGACACGGCGGGTAACGTGACACACCCTTCCGTGTCCGCAGGTTCGTGGCCGTCAGCTACCCGCTGCAGAGGCTGTCCATGTGCACGGTGGCGCGCGCCAGGGCTATCCTGGCCTCGCTCACGGTGGCTGGCCTCGGCCTCTACTCGCCGTACCTCTTCATCTCGGCCGTGATCCCCGTGCCGGCGGTGCAGGGTGGGCAGGGGGCGGCGGGCGGCGCGGCGGCCAACAATGGCACGGTGCTCGTCTGCGACATGCTCAAGCAGTGGCACAGCCTGGCGCGCGTCCTCAACTACGCCGACATCTGCCTCACGCTCGTGCTGCCCGTGCTGCTCATCCTGTCGCTCAACGCGTGCATCGCCCGCACCGTGCTGCGCCTGGCGCGCGCGCGCAAGGACCTCACCAACACGGCCATCAACGGCAGCGGCAGGTGAGTCTCAGGACGCCGAGGCCGCAGGCAGCCCGCCCGCTCCAGTGCGTGACGGGTGTGCCTACCCTCGACTCCGCAGGCGTTCCCTGCGCGCCGCGGGTGGGGTCGGGCCGGTGGCCACAAGGCCGGCCGGGCCCACACGGACGGCAGGGGCCACAGCCACAAGGATGGCCAAGGCCACAAGGCCGCCCTTATCAAAGAGCGCCCGCACGCCGCAGGCTCCCCGGCCTACACCCCCTGGCCTTCCGCCGCTCCACCATGCTCCGGCCGGCCAAACAGACGCCGTCAGCAGCCCGGGGGCGGGCCTGGGGGCCCCCGGGGAGCACGTCTCTTTACCTCAGCGGGGGCTACGACGGGCCCGCTCTCTCGACCTGCGGCGGAGGCCTCGACTAACCGTATTTTAGTTGATAATAGACCAAAGTTAGCGACCGGCGTAGGGCCTTGCACGCCCGCCGCCCCCCTGCGCCACCCACGCTTCTCCTTCCGGACCCCGACCCGCCCAACCAAAGCGCGCGCACGACCAGAGGCGGGCGAGAGGCGGCGGGACGCAACACGGCGCGCACCCAGGGGAGGTGTTAGCCCTTATTCGCCTGATTAGTATTCTGACCATTCGCCCAACACCATCAAAGAGCAACGGAGCAGGGAGGGTGCGAGGGGGGTGGACGGTTAGAGATAGGGATGGATAGGAAAATGAGAAAAAGAGAGAGAAGGGACAGAGATAGAGACAGAAAGAAAGGGGAAAAGGCCGAGCGTGATGGGTAAGGGTAAGAGGGTGAGGGGGAGAGGGGGGAAAGATGGGGGAGAAAGGTTGTATACAGGGGAGAAGAAGAGGGTGCGCGACTGAGGAGCTTCTGGAATAAAAACATCACCGGTGTCTTGTTCACAAAGCATGTTTGATCTGTCCTCTCGTATCCGCGCTGGAGGCTGCTGGAGCTGGAGCAGCAGGGCGGACAAGCCGCGCGCCACCGCCGCCTCCTCCATTCCCGTTGTGCTGAAAGCGGCAAGGTACAGCCGGCGTAGAACCCGCATGGAAAAAAGTGTTCGAGATTAATTTGCGTTGAGTCAGTGCGCTAGGTTTCTTCTCAAATCTAGTTCGGCTCGGAAGCGGCTAAGTCCCAGTCACGGTCCATATACGATTGTCACACAGGTCAGATAGAATGCAGTTACAAGTTGCCCAGGCACATCCCGGACAGTTCTCAGACATAAGTGAGTACTGGTCATAGTTAGGATTCAAACACTTTTTGTACGAAGATCGGACAGACCCCAAACCGTTTAGACCGAACACTATTTGGCTACTGTCTGCGGAATAGGGGAGAGGGCAACAGAGTTGGCAAACTGGTATATGAGCACCATCCGACCTCCCGGACAGTCTGCAGACATGCATCGTGTTGGCGAGAAAAAAGGCCGCGTGCACGCAGAGTAGAACCCCGGACTCTTGATTCAGCGCCACTCATCTTGCCAACTGAGCTATCTGGGCGCACATGTGGGGGACGATCGCTGGAGCAACTCTTTCGTTGCGACTGCCAGCGTCTCGTGAGCGGGCGAACGTTCCGTAGTATGCTTTCGGCCTTGTCCCCCACGTGTGCGCCCAGATAGCTCAGTTGGCAAGATGAGTGGCGCTGAAGCAAGAGTCCGGGGTTCTACTCTGTGTGCACGCGGCCTTTTTTCTCGCCAACACGATGCATGTCTGCAGACTGTCCGGGAGGTCGGATGGTGCTCATATACCTGTTTGCCAACTCTGTTGCCCTCTCCCCTATTCCGCAGACAGTAGCCAAATAGTGTTCGGTCTAAACGGTTTGGGGTCTGTCCGATCTCCATACAAAAAGTGTTTGAATCCTAACTATGACCAGTACTCACTTATGTCTGAGAACTGTCCGGGATGTGCCTGGGCAACTTGTAACTGCATTCTATCTGACCTGTGTGACAATCGTATATGGGCCGTGACTGGAACCTAGCCGCTTCCGAGCCGAACTAGATTTGAGAAGAAACCTAGCGCACTGACTCAACGCAAATTAATCTCGAACACTTTTTTCCATGCGGGAACGCAGCCGCGTGCAGGGCAGGGCATGGAGAGCGTCCTGAGCATGCGACTCGGAGCTCGGTGTTTAGGCCCCAGCGCTACGATTGTGTCTCCCTGATCCATAACTCAACATCCTCCACAAAGAGGGACCCCGCCGCGGAGCCTCGCGAGCCTCCACGGCACGTCCGCTGCCCCCCCCCC